CAGATGGGAGGGGGATGACAGATGGGAGGGGGGATGACAGATGGGAGGGGGGATGACAGATGGGAGGGGGGATGATGGGGGGTCATGGCCTCCCCAAAAGGGCAAAAACTTGTTTGATTGTGAAATTTCCTTTCCCGTTTCTTTCTAAAGCCCCAAATTGAGCATGAATGACACTCAGAAATGCCAAGAGGTTACAGTAAGAAATTCTTTAAGTTTTGAGGACCTCCAAACAATTTCTTCACCCCTCCCCCTGACAATTTGGTTTTGGATGTAGCCTCTATAGTGACAGTCTAGTGGTGTAATGTAAAAAAGAATGGATGAAACTTCAGGGCACATACATGGAGACAAATTTGGAAATAGAATAAGCATCCGCTACTGCAGTGGAGCGACACTCATTAGTTGGTGGTGGTTCGATACCCATGCACCAACCTTGGATGAAGTGGTGTCACTTGTTTTCCTAGTGACCTGTTGCCTTTGTTTTCCTCAGTATGAAAGAGAGAGGCCAATACTTGAAGCTATGCCCCAACCAGAAGACGGCAAGATAGAGCTGAAAAGACAGACTACTCGTAAGTATTTGAAGGACAAGAAAGTTACACCATGCAAGAGCTTTCAAACTCCTGCCTGAGTTTTCCCGTATTTACATGTGGGAGGTTCGAGGCCAATTGTCCGAAATTTGTCAGAAGTGCTTCAGGCTTCATGGATGCCAAAGCACACCCCAGGATATCTGTCTCCAGTGGCAGCTTTTCCAATCACTTAAAAAATGGTGAACGCTTCTCTTTTTCTTTTCCTTCTGTAGCTGGGAGCAGGATGCTGGAACACTACATGCGGAAAGAAGGCATCATGGAAGACAGCAACACTAAGGTCAAGGTCACCACAGCGATGGCTACCAGATTAGGGGCGGTACCCTCAGCAGGTAGCTGGCGAGCTAATTTGACAAACGCCCATAAAAAGAATCCCTTAATTATCCATAACCTTAACCTCTTAGGGTTTTTTGAAAATCTGTGACAAATCTCTGTGAAGTCTTGTGTATAATGTATTATTTGACACTTCAGGCCATGCCTGGGCAGATGGAGTTGTGGTGTAGCATGTTATATTGGGTCAGCAGTAGGTGTAAGGAAAAATTCAAAGCCGTAAAATCGCAGTCGGTAAATGGGTGTATTGAAGGCTTGAAAGTGTGTTCAGAGCCTGTCGATAGCCACCCGTTCCCTGGATACTTTGATTAGGTTGGTCTACAGGATTTCCCTCAAGTACCATTTGTAAAATCCTACGAGAGTCATCAGCAATGAGTCAAAAGACTTCCCTGACAGTTTTCAGACTCTAAAAATAAGGAGATTATTTCACGAGAGCTGATTTTGTTGGCAGACCATTTTGTCGGAGTTGGCATTTTTTTCTAGTTTTTCTATGCCCATCTTTCTGACAATATGTTGTGTAATATTGAATCAAACATGGCTTTCATTAGTCTTTATGGAGTCTGCATAATATTGAGTTATATGTTGTGTGCTTTATAGATTCCGTCTATGATACTACTAAAAATCCTATTCTGGTCAGAAAAGGAGTAAACAGAACCATACAACTTTTTGAATTATTGAATTTAAAGAGGTTCTACATGGTGCAAAAATTGTCTCAAGGTGTGTGAGACTTGATGTAATAAGAAGATAATTCCACACGTTTGTTTAATGCAGTTGTCATCCTACATGGGTTTAAAAACTCTCATTCACCTCCAAAACTGCAGTTGTAAAGAAAGACAGCCATTCTCCTCAATCCCCCCCCAAAAAAGAGAAATATACCAGAGCTCATTTGGAATATTCAAATCAAAGTAAACATCCAAGTCATTGAAAGCCTTCTTATCACATCCAGGTTCCAAGAAAAAGCCAGTGGGTGTGCCCGATTCAGTTGAGGTCATCCCGGTGAAGAAAGCGCGGCGGGTACCTCCAGAGGAGGAAGGGGCCTATGTCATCTCACTACCCAAGGGCAGCACAGAGAGAACCAAGAAGATACTGGACCAGAAGGCACAAGGTGAGGTTGGGTCAAGGAGTCAGGTTGGTTGGTTGGTTGGTCAGTCAGTCAGTCGGTGGAGGTTTATCGTTTGGAAAATAGGGGCACTTAACAAAATGGTACTCATAGAGGTTGATATGAAGATGCAGTGCATTGTGGGAAGTGGTCAACAAACTTCATTCACAGGCTGCATGCTAGGAACTGGAATTGTTCCCAATGCTTGTTTGGGTAGAAGATTCATAAAGGCATTTCAGGTATCCGTTAAGTTGGTCAAGATGTTTTTTTGAAGGTGGTAGAATTCAGCTCAAATACTTCAATACTCACAAACTTCCTAAAATATCCATCTGAGTGCTCAGATCTATTATGAAGACTGAGGTTAGCTTTGGGTTTGTCCCAGATATCTCCATTGGGTCCAAAATCAGAAATCCGTGTTCAGCAAAAAATTCCTCTTTACATTGAAGATACCAAGAGTTCTGTGTTTGCGAGGTTGGGAGCTGGTTTAAGTGATGTAGGCGTTGCCCAAACATCTATAGGTGGACAGATGACTACCAAAAGCACAGCAGAGGGCAAACAGGTTAGTTGCAGTGTTTGTTTGTCTACAAACCGGTGGTAAATTCCACTTTTTCAAATTTCCGATGTTTTGAAAATAAAAACACTGACAGCACTGTTCGACCTTAAGGGTTTGCTTACAAACAAGGACATATCAAGGTTTTTTTCTCCTTAGGGTGGTACGCCGACAATCTTCAACCGTTTGGGTGGTCAAAGCCACCTGTCCTCACCCACTAATCCAGTACTCCAATATCATGGTGTGCTGAAGAGCTCACCAAAATCGAGTCCCACACCAAAGATAAAGACAGGATCGACAATCCCCAAGGCCAAGGTCACAGTTGTAAAGGGGGTAGCAACAACGGCAGCAGCAGGTAGCGTGCAGGAGCGACTAGGGGTCCAGCGACCCGAGGTGTCCACCACCACCCTCACCCACATGGACTCAGTCGGTCTGAAACACAGCCTGCTGGCCCGCCTGGGCGGTCAGAAGGGCGATTTGCTGTCCCCCACCCAGCCGAAGGTGATGGTCCGGATCAGCAAGGGGAACAGCCTGGGCGGTGGCAAGCAGACCTCACCAGCCGTCCTGGCCAGACTGGGCGCACAGAAGCCGAACACGGCGCCGACCGCAGCAACAAAACCAAAGCAGACTGTCATCACGCTGAAGCCCGGCTTGACCAAACGCCTGGGCGGTCAGAAGGCTCCTGCCATCAAGGCGGGTGGCGTCAAAGCAGGAGGAGCCAAGTCCGGGGTGATGGCAAGGCTTGGCAAGAAGCAGAAACAGACCTCTCCTGTCCGAGCGTCCTCTGCTCAAGCCCCCAACAAAGTACAGAAACGGTTGGGGCTCCCCCTCAAGGGGGCAGAGTCTGCCAAGGCCTCCCTGAAGGAACGCCTTGGTCTTCAGAAGGCGGAAGCCAGTTCAACGACGCCAACCTTTACTGTGACACTGGGTGGCGCTGGTGCCAGTAGCAAGCCAGCCAGAAAGAAAAAGAGAAAATCTGTAGCTAGAAGTCAGGCTGAAACAACTGCGAGATCTGTCACAATGGGGCAAGATGTATTCAGTAGGCTCGGATCAGGGTGAATTACAAAGTACTTATTTTAGTCAGGAGAATAACTATTTTAATTTCAATGTTCCCTTTCCACTTTTACAGTTGTAACCTACCACAAGCAGAACAGAAAGAACAATATCATCCTAGTTTATTATTTCTCAGCCCCAAAACCATTGTTGTGTACTTCTAAGAATAACGGCATTAACAAGAAATGTTTTATCATTTTATTCAAGTTTTAGATCAGGTTTAAAGACAGAAATAGTGTACAAAGATTATTTGCCTTTCCTCAGTATTTATGGTTTCAAGGAGTATGTATTTCAAATTGATTCTTTCGTACTGTTACTTGTTGAAAAGTCATTGAGGGTAATAAGTGATTAGTTGAAGGATGGCATTTTGTTTTTGAGGAAAAAATGGAGAGAGAACATTGTTTGCTTGCAAACCTGTGCCCTTTTATTGATGCATTGTCATTGTCACGACTTGAAACAAGTGTTGAAGTAAAGAAGCAGAGATACCTGTAAACTGCATTTCTCCACTTAAACTACTCAAGGATGTGTCAGTACATAATATTTTCTTTAGTAGACCCTGCATTTAATCCTTAGAATCAAGTGGGACAGAGCTGGCACTTTCTTCCACACCTTTTGACATATTTGTCACAGTAGCATCATTGTTGATGAAGCAGTGGTCATCTGGACGGGAAAGGCTAATCCATGTATATTTCACTCAAAGGTGTGAGTTACTTGTATGTACAATATGCAGTTGATGTTGAACAATCATGGCAAGCTTTGCAATGTCGTGATGCATTCTGCAAGTTGCAATATCTTACACTTGCTGTAATGTCAGAATTTGTGTTAACATTACTTTGTGTGTGTACTGCATTTGAAGTGAAGTGTAAGGCAGACAGTGTGTAGTCTTATTTTGGGGGGGGGTTAAGGGAAAAAATACCAGTTTGTTACCGCTTGTTTTGTTGTATTTGACTTTTGTTTCTTTTTGCTTTGGTTTTGTGTGTGTTAAGAATGATCGTTCCCATGTACCCCTGCCCATACATGCGTCACCCATATGTGCAGCCGTCATTTAAGTGTACATGTACTGACCCAGACAGATATTAGCCGAGAACCTGTCCGAGACAGTATGCATTGTGGGACACGTTTGTTGATAACCCATTTTTGGTAAGCAAACATTGTGTTTGCCCAGCAAATTTCTCGGTCGAAGAAGTTAGCTCTGTGATTCAGCCAGCAGGTTCACGACACCTCATACACACCATTGACTTTGAAGTCTACGTTTTGGTTCTTTTTCAGTTTGTAGTTCCATGTGCCAATGTCAGCCTCATATGTCTGCATACAATTTGCCCCTAGAACAAAGCTATGAAAGTGATTTCAACATTGTGTATGTATTAATGTTCAGATTTCATATTATAAACAAAAAAAACAGCCAATTTACTTTCTGTGGCAGTAGGAGTTTCTATGGACAGTCCAATTTTTGATGGAGAGCCCAAGTTGTAAGACACAAGGATTCATCAATTCAAGTGCCTTTGGGTAAAACTGGGACGTAAGTGTTTGGCCATTTTTTTGTGACGCTAGCCAAGAGATGATTGTACTTTGAATTTCTGCCTTGCTTTCCAAAGCAGTAACCATGAGCAGTTAACTTTTATGGAATGGTTACCAGGATTATTCAGTATGGCAAAAAAAATGGAAAGTAGTTGTTGTGTTCTGTTGGAGACTGACTTGGAGAGGATCAAGGATATGTAGGTGCTGGTTTATGATCCCAACATTCTGCACTGAGGTTGAAGTACATTGTATTTGTCAGACCCCAAGGTATTTGTTGATAGTGCCCAATAAAAATGGACAGAAACAAACCTATAAAAGTTGCCTATCCCTTCATTTTATATTCATCAACCTGTGGCAAGATGTGGTAGGCGGCCCTTCGAAAACGTACAGGGGTACAAACTTCTTAATCAAATTCTCTCGACTTTTCTGGGATTTCCCCAGCTTTCTTGATAAAAAAATTATCTTCTAACGATTTCTTTACCCGGGCAGTTTCAAACTTTGTTTCCATTGGGGTCTTGCATTAATTATAGATTAGTTCATTCAAAATAGTCATAAAAATTACTGGCAAAAGTACGTGAATGACACTAGCTAAGAATCATGCTGTACGAGACTTAGTTTGAATAAGTTAATGCAGTAATCACACATACCAAGATGTGACAAAATTGACTTACGAAGAGGGCAAAACCCTTTGAAAAAAAACCTTTTGGGAAGGGAAAATTGGGCATTCGGCTCCAATTTCCTTTGGTAACCAACTTACAACTAGAGTTCTGAAGAATTGCTTTAGTTCATGGTTCAACAACAACGAAGTATTTATGAGACTTCACGTGGTCAATACATATAGGCGGAATATGTCCACACTGTTCTGTCCAAATTTTGTTGCGTCGGATGACTGACACTTTGTGCAAGCATCCTGACTACTCGTCTGCCGATTATTTGAAAGCAGTAAGCCAAAAAAAATTATTTGAAATCAAGAAGAAATTTTCATGACAAACAAGGAATACTTGTTTTCCCTATAAGCTTGAAGGTCCTGCATACGGACAAAGTTGGCTCTTTTGTACTTCTCTACCATTCAGATACATAAATGGGTTTTTCATTCCTGTACAGTCAGGCAGACAAAAAATTTTTCTTAATTCCAAATTCCAGAAATGATTCTTCAGCCACCCATACTTTTGTGTGCTTTGCATTCCTCGGGCCAAATTCTCCCAATTTATAGATTGACTGTGACCCAGTAGCATATTTCTGTCAGCACAAAGCGATGATAATGTGGGGATTATTCGACATACATGCAGTGTAATTTGACAAGCAGATTGAAAAACGATTACTGCCGTGGCAAAAGGCTCTTGGACAGGTGGTACGCGCGTTACATACCTCTTTGACCAATGGGGTGTTGTGATTAGCTGGAAGCACGTGCACGTCTAGCTGAAGAATGGGCGTGTAGCACGGTGCCACCTCAGGTATGGTGTCCAGTCGGATTAAGCTATAGGTATGTACATTTTCATGTGCACTCGGTACTTGGCTCCTTTCTTTTAGATTGGAAACCAGCCTGGACCTATAATGCTGTTGAAGTGGGCATCCTGGAAATTTTTACTGAACTTTATTGATTAATCTTCACGGTTGAAAATGTCCAATGAATGGATCGTTGACGAATCTTGCATAGCAGTCAGAACTAAACTTTGGACATTTCCTTTTTTGAAGCACGTCTCAGATTTGAGACGACAGCATCTGTCTATTTTCAATGTATTTCTTGCAGTTCTCTGGAACATCAGTAACAACACCATTAAAAAAATAGAGATGTGGGGTATGTTAAAAATGAAACTGGCCATGATTTTATTTCATCACTAATTCCAAACTTATTCAAATGTTCGAATAGTAACAAATAAATAAGCAAGCCACGTAACAGTTAGTAAAAGCTAAACTCTTACCTTTAAACTCAGAAATGGAGAGCAATCCAGTGCCTAGCACATTTCATGAGATCCATCATAAAATAAATCTCGGCTTAGAGAGCATATCAGACCAAAATATGGCATTAAACAAGTTTGCATGATATTGTCTCATTTCTCCTTTTGCATATTTTATGTGTAAAACGACAATAAGAAAATCTAACACCCTGAAAATATTACACCATCAAATTGATGTGCAACTCTACAGCTGAAACTGAACACACTTAAAAATAGAGAAATGTAAAGCTGTAGAGACACATGGTGAGTGTACCTTCTGTGAAACTGTCCAATTCATGTACTTCTTGGTTTGTTTATTTTGACAAATGAAAGCTTTATAGTTAAGGCACAGCTGTGACATCATGTTGTTTGAATATCTCACAAATTCCGTTGTTTCACAGTAAATATCTCAACAAGTTGGATTTGGATGAATTGTAAAAATGTATTTTTACCCTCCCCTCAAAAAAAATAATCCTTGGAGTTAAAAAAGGTCAACCTCTCTTAGTACTAAAAGCTATTTACTTCCAATTTCTTCAGGTGATTATGTAAGTTTAAACACATGGACTTAATA